AAAAAAATTAAGAAATACAATTAACCGTATTAAAAAAACATTCATTAAAAATTCATGATTTCATGAATTCAGGCCATCTAGCGTCTATTTTACGTACCACCTTGGGTGTCAATCAGTTGTACGATAAAGACTACTACTACTACTACCTATAGAACGAAGCAGGTGGCGCTATAATAATAATAATTCTTAATTTCAGATGTCAAATATCCATAAGTTGTTAGTATGACTTAGCTTAGGTTAGTAGTTGAGAACATTAAATAAAATCAAATTATATCAAAACTAAAATCAAATCGAAACCCAAAATGAATTCACAATAAAATCAAACTAAAAATAATAATCATATAATAGTAATATCAAAATAAAATCAAAAAAATCAATCGAAATCAAGTAATGTCAATCAAATTAAACTAAATCAAAATAAAATAAAATATCGAAATAAAGTCAATTTGGATTTTACTCGAAAGAAAATATAATATCTATGAGTCTAACACAAAAATCGTAATAATAAGACAATAGAAATGAATTAGCGCTCGATTACTTCCAAAAACGATGTCGCCACATCTTACCGTATTATAAATATACGTAATGCACAATGATATCTAATGTTTCACATTACATTGCTTGGAGAGTTTGTCAACGTCGCGTGTGTCGCGTATTACGGTAGAACAAAAGGAGCAATGGTTATTGTACAATACGAAAAGTAATAAATGAGTTTGCAAAGGTAAATGTCATGGAAAGTATTCATCTAGAGGTAAATTAATTAAAACAATGATAATTAGTAATAATCAACTTACTGATGAAATGTTATGCCTTTAATAGTTTAATTACACGTCCTTGATGAGTTTTTGTAACTGATTACTGTTGCAGTATACTGCAACAGTCAGTGCACCATTATACATTTATAATAACAAAAAATCACTTACGACGTTCCCCGCTCAACTAAATCATTAAATGGTGAATCATGTTCGTCAACCCATATAAGCGGCGACAAGATCACGCGTCTATGCGACTTCTATTGTCTTATTATTACGATTTCTGCGATGTCTAACATATATATATATATATATATATATATATATATATATATATATATATATATATATATATATATATATATATATATATATATATATATATATATTAAAAGGATTGTTACATTTATTTACTATAAAATTAAATTTTCTTATATTTTTTATTTATTTAAATAAATAATTTTCCGTAAAGTATTTATATTTTATATTTCATTTCATTTGAAGGTTTCACTTCTGTCGCGTGTGAGCTGCACGCATGTTGTTTTATATTTATTCAGCCCAACAAGACGATCATACTCTATAAATATAATATTATTACGTTTATTAATTTAAAAAAAATATGTTAAAATTATGGTCCTAACTGGAGAAATAGAACCCAGGTAAAACCCAGTATCACGTTTACTTCTGCTACGTGACGCAACCCGCCCGTGAAATTCCCATTGTAAAAGTACCGAAAGATTCTCCGAATAATGTTTCAGCGTTCGTAAATAGTTGGCAGCATGCATGACATTGAAAAATCCGACACTGAGTCATCCTCAGTGTCATGTCCGCTTGGCTATGTGCATACGTAGACATCTTCCGGTAAGCGACTGCGGCTGTTGACTTATTTTTTATATATTTATTTTATTCTAAGAGTTTCAGTAACGCAACACATTAGTAGTTATTTTACTTAACCTCTCAAACTTTAAACACAATTAAGATAAACAAAGCGAATCTATATTGCAGAAGAGAAGTCACTCGGGAAGGGACACTCTAGGCGAAAGTTTATCGACAAAATTGGCGGTTTATTGAAAATCGGCCAAACCAAGAGCACCCTTAACCGATGAGCACGTATCCATAGGTATATGGATGTATAGGAGAAGAAAGAGATGAGTCAGGATCATGCCAAGTGGAAGTACGCAGTCTCTGCCTACCTCTGGGTGACAGGGGTGAGTGTTTATGTATCATCATCATCATCGTTAAAGCCCTTCACAAGTCCACTGCTGAACATAGGCCTCCCCCAAAGACTGCCACAAAGCACGGTCTTGAGCCACCTGCATACATCGACTTCCTGCATGTTTAATCAGGTCGTCACTCCATCTAGTGGGGGGACGCACTACACTTCGCCTACCGGTACGAGGCTGACACTCGAGAACCTTTTTTCCCCATCGGTTATCGGTACTTCGAGCTATATGGCCGGCCCATTGCCATTTCAGCTTACTAATAATTCGTTGGGTTATGTCGGTCACGTTGGCTATACTGCGGATAACATTCCTAAGTTTATCACACAGAGAAACCCCGAGCACAGCCCCCTCCATAACTCGCTGAGCGACTTTAAGCTTCCTCATACGGCCAGCAGTGAAGGATCACGTCTCAGATCCATAGGTCATCACTGGCAACACGCACTGGTTGCACAATTTAGCTTTGAGGTATGCCTGAAGAGAAGATGTGTCGTAATTTCCCGAAGGCTGCCCAGCCGAGTTGAATCCGTCGATTGACCTCTCGGTCGAAGTTGGATTTATCTAGTCGGACTATTTGTACCCGGTAAACGTCGCCCTGTCTTACACCTCTCTGCAGTTGGATAGGTTTCGTATTCTGGTTCTGTACTCGGATAGCCATCGTAGCCCTACTGTACAAACACTTCAGCACTTCGACATACCGACAGTCAACTTGGCACCGCTGAAGAGACTGTAGCACCGCCCAAATTTCGACGGAATAATAGGCTTTTTCATAGTCCACATACGCAAGGCAAAGACGCAGATTGTACTCATCGGTCTTCAGTACAATCCGCCGCAGGGTATGTATGTGGTCTATGGTACTGAAGCCTTTTCGGAAACCGGCTTGTTCGGGAAGCTGGAAGTCGTTGAGTCTGCGTACGAGACGATTCGTAATGACTTTCATAAACAGCACGTAGACGCGGCTCAGAAGGGAAATCGGTCTGTAATTCTTCTAGAGAGCGTTGTCGTCTTTCTTAAATTCAATTAAAACAATATACTAACAATTTCATACACACATACATTACAACAGTATCGCTTTGTGACAGCGACAGATAAATAAATAAATAAACACCATCATTATTATTGTAATTTTTAAGTTTATAAAGAACTAAATAGGAATAATGTCATTAAAACTTACTTATATATGAACGGTAAGGCCATCTTTTAGTAAATTTGACGTAACATATTTTTATTGCAGCTAAAAAACTGAACAATTCGGCATTTTTGTAGGACGTCGATTCAGCCTCGGAACGAGATTTAGTTTTTCGATTTCGAGAGTAGTACGTGTATAGTACCGCGTGTACTTACACTTTGGCAGACGGAAACGCCTGCGTATGGCTACTCCCTTCTGATCCCCCGGTAGCCGCTTTACATTGAACTAATATGTACTTACGTACTAGAACAGCTATTTCAAACAAAACATGTGCGTTACTCTGTGTTCGCGCGGTTGGTTTTTTATCATAGAATAAACATAGGTAGAATGATCAGTAGGTAACAATAGATTGTATTGTTAAGTAGGTAGATTATATCGAGAACAATTTTTAAATTTTGTGATTTATTTTGTATATACTATATTCGCTTTTTTAATACAATATTACATAATATTATATTACATTTACATTTTAATTATATTTTTATCTGAATATTTTAAAAGGTATCTACGTCAAATATGAAAGAAAACAAACTAAATGCATATTTAACAAAACTTATTAATATAACATTTAAATTACAAATATATTTATTTAAATTAGAATAAGAGTCGTTTACAAATGCTAGGCACGTGAGAGTTAAAAATGGATGAATTTATTCCACTTTGACTTTGATGTGGAAACCTAAAAATAAAAAAATAAAATAATGAGCAGATTTAATATAAAAAATTTAGCCTAATTATTATAACATATACATTTCTACAAAAAAATGTGTATAATAATTAATAATATATTCGTCCTATACTTAAGTACCCACAGAAATGTCGCATCTGAACAACTTAATTTCATAATCTATATTCTATGACACGAGATGTCTTAGGAATACTTTGTTTCATTATTAATCTATAATACTTTTTTAATGATTAAGTATTTTATTATCCGATGAAAAGTAATTCCTTGGTTTTTAGTGACAATTATTGAATTATTTGTGAAATATCTAAGTACACACGACGGCATATTTTTGTCAAGAGATTTTTTTTAAATCAACACAACACGTGACAACTCTACAAGCGCCTAGCGAGTGACTGATTAAAGTGCGGTGTAAGCACCGCAGTTGAATGGAACAGAGTACGTGAATGCAGTGTCGCCTCTAGTACGTAGTACATAATAGCTCAATGCCGCTTTATGATGTAAACAGACAAAGTTAATGTCTAGCCTATAAAGGTTGGCCAAAGTAAGTCTTTCAGGCCGCATTTCGGCACGGAGCAATATTGTAATGCACAAGTGTGTTTGTAAGCACAGTTGCACTCTCTATTTCCTCACTTCCATAGTATTATGGGTCAGCAATCCGGCACGACCGCAGAGAGATCAGGTGCAGGACCAACTGCTTTATGTGCTTTCCGGTGCACGAGGTGAAATACTGCCAACATCTAGACTCCGGACTGCCACTAAAATTTCTTAACAGAAAAACTCAATAATGAAATTTTTTGTTCGATCCAGGATTTGAACCCGGGATGTCATGATCAGCAGTCGCACTTACGACCATTAGACCAACGCGGCAGTGGTAAATACAAGTTATCATAACTGATAATTTGCTCGATTAACATTGTCTCGGGTGCAGTGTTAACTGCGCACTATAATGGATTCCCCTGCCGGATTATCATCATCATCATCATTACAGCCCTTCACAAGTCCACAGCTGAACATAGGTTTTCCCAAAAGAAAAGTAAAAACGATACCAAGTTGTAAAAAGTAAAAAGGATATTCGGTTGTAATCACTTAGGAATAGGTTTCCTGACAATGAGTACCAGCACGTTTCTCGCATTGTGTTTTAGACCTCCTCCTCAAGGTGTAGCTTCCAGCGCAGGCATCTTCGTAGTCGCAGCTAGAACAAAGGGCACAACATCGCGTGTATGGCTATGCAAATACTGTGCCCGTTGCTCCAGCTGCGGGTTACAGTGCGGGTCCAGCAGCGGCAGCAGCAGCAGTGCGGGTAACAACCTGTAGATATGCGCGTGGCGCGCCTGGCAGACGCCGTACACGCGACCCTGCGCCTGCTGCTGCAGCGTGGGTTCCAGTGCGGATCTCAGCAGCAGCAGTGCGGGTACCAACCTGTAGTATGCACGTGGCGCGCCTGGCCGACGCGGTACACGCGGTCCTGCGCCTGCTGCTCCAGCTGTGGGTTCCAGTGCGGGTCCAGCAGCAGCAGCAGCAGTGCGGGTACCAACCTGTAGATATGCACGTGGCGCGCCTGGCCGACGCGGTACACGCGGTCCTGCGCCTGCTGCTCCAGCTGTGGGTTCCAGTGCGGGTCCAGCAGCAGCAGGTGGCTGGCGCCGCACAGGTTCAGTCCCACGCCGCCAGCCGACAGCGACAGTAACATAACCTGCAAACACCACTTCATACTCAAAACGCTTGGTCTGCGGCAGTTGCCTTTCACTTACAACCTTCTATTTAGGGCTTTCAACCTATATTCCTGAAATAGCCAGTGGACAATATAAGGCTTCCAATCTACACATCTTAATCAGTTCGTAAAACATCATAAGATGTCCCAGAAGTCGACGTCAAGCCGGAATCGGGTGATATAGGTCGTCATTATAAAAAAAATCTTTATTATGTATTGGGTCTTAACGTATGAAATTAGCGTTTTCTCGTACTGACCACTTTGATCTGAAATATCTCCTATTTGGTTAATAATTCCAAATTCAAATTTATAAATTCATTTAGCTGGTACATTTGAGTTTTGAAAACAGTCAATCATTTGTTTTTTCCTCATTATTATTTTCTTTGGCGTCGCTTATTACCGCACAAGGGAAAACATGAAATGTCGGTATATTTACGAGTACGAGTTCTACCGTGGCACCAGTGCTGCAGAAACAGCTCGAAGGATTAATGATATGTACGGCACTGGTATCGCAAAAGAAAGCACGGTACGTTTTTGGTTTCAACGTTTTCGTTCTGGAAATTTCGACCTTCAGAACCAACCCAGTGGACGGTCGGAGACCAAAGTGGAAAATAAACAATTAAAGGCTATTGTGGAAGCGGATCCATCACAAAGCACTTCAGAGATAGCTGCCGGCTTCGGTGTAAGTGATAAAACTGTATTAGTCCACTTGAAAAGAAGTAAATCGGAAAAGTAAAAAATAAAATTGAACGATGGATACCTTATGAATTGATCGAACTTGCAAACACACGTCGACTGCTGTGTTACTTTGCTCAACCAACACAAAAATGAAGGGATTTTTAATCGAACCATTACTTGTGATGAAAAATGGATACTGTACGATAATCGACAGCGCTGGTCGCAATGGCTGAACCCTGGAGACCCAGCCAAATCCTGCCCTAAACGAAAATTGACTCAGAAAAAGTTACTTGTGAGTGTTTGGTGGACTAGCGCCGGTGTCGTTCACTACAGCTTTCTAAAATTTGGCCAAAAGATTACGGCAGATATCTATTGTCAGCAACTGCACACCATGAAGTAAGGCGACAACGCTCTCTTGAAGAACTACAGACCGATTTCCTTTCTGAGCCGCGTCTACGTGCTGTTTTCGAGAGTCATTACGAATCGTCGCGCACACAGACTCGACGACTTCCAGCCCCCAGAACAATCCGGTTTCCGAAATGTCTTTAGTACTATACACCACATACATACCCTTCAGCAAATTGTATAGAAGTGCGAAGAGTACAATCTGCCACTTTGTCTTGCGTATTTGGACTATGAGAAAGCCATTGATTCCGTCGAAATTTGGGTAGTGCTGCAGTCTCTTCAACGGTGCCAAGTTGACTGTCGGTATATCGAAGTGCTAAAGTGTTTGTAAGGTATGGCTACGATGGCTATCCAAATCCAGAACTAGAGTACGAAACCTATTCAACTGCAGAGTGATGTAAGACAGGGTGACATAATATCCCCAAAACTCTTCACCACTGCATTGGAAGACGTTTTCAAGCTACTGGACTGGAAAGGATATGGTATTAATGACTTTCGATTTACCGACGATATAGTCCTTATGGCAGAAGCGCTGGAGGACCTAAGCACTATGCTCAATGACCTCAATAGTGTCTTCCAAAGGATAGGTCTTAAGATGAACGTGGACAAAACAAAAGTCATGTGTAATGTCCATGTCACACCGATGCCGGTGGTTGTTGGGAGCACTAAGCTCGAAGTTAATGACGAATAATTATGTTTACCTGGGACAAGTAGTCCGACTAGATAAGTCCAACTTCGACCGAGAGGTCAATCGACGGATTCAACTCGGCTGGGCAGCGTTCGGGAGTTTACGATTCATCATCTCGTCAGGCATACCTCAAAACTAGATTCTACAAACAGTGCGTGTGATGACCTATGGATCTGAGACTTGGTCCTTCACTGCTGGCCGTATGAGGACGCTCAAGATCGCTCAGCGAGCTATGGAGAGAGCTATGCTCGGGGTTTTTCTGCGTGATAAACTTTGGAACGAAGATATCCGCAGTAGAACCAGAGTGACCGACATAGTCCAACGGATTAGGAGTTGAGTTGATAACGTGGGTCGAGGCGAAAGGCCGTCGCGATTAAATCGGATCTGTGCTCTAAAATAACAAATCACAAAAATTTAGCTAAATAAATGAGTAGAGTGTGTAAATTTAAATGAAAATAATTAGTGATGGTGTCACCTTCTATTAAAACTGAATGGAACGTCATCATAAAAATAAACATAAACAGCGTTTAAGTGGCAAAACTAAACTAATGCTCAAAAATTGCGATGAACAGCAAATAAAAGTGCATAAAACTATCAATGTGTTAAATAACCAAATTGAACTACGGCAACTGTGTCAATAATTGCAACAGTAACATAATGAAATTATTTAAAATGATGATATGATTTCTGTACACCCTCATATTTTTTAAAATAAAATTACATTTAGCAGTGCAACGAAGTGTGAATAACAAGACTCATTGGTAAATGACTGTAATGCAACTCAAAACATTATATGGTCGCCCCATACTGAACACTGTATGCCTTACATGGTGGTAATAAGTTCGAATCTCGCAGCTGATTGATACTATTTACATTGTTTTTTTTCTTTATTACAGTTTTACTTTGTTACTTAGAGCAAAATATGGATAAAAAAAGTTTAGAAAATGGTCAACCCTAATTGTTTTAAGTGCCAAAAGAAAAAAAATGATGTACTTTGTTGTGCATCTTGCAAAATTTTTTACGACATAACGTGTCCACAAGTATTGAGCACCAAAGTTAATATCATGGAAAAATTAAAAAAGGAAAGCTGGAAATGCCAATACTTGTAAAGCAAGACTACCATCATCATCTAACGTGACAAAAAGAAGCACTAGGCATAAGGCTCTTCCAGTAACGCCGCTGCATAAGTCTGAAGAAGAAGAATCAAATAGTTCTGATGATGACCTACATAGCCTGCCAGATATTAGCTTATCAAAATGACAGAGAGGAAGAGTTGTTAAAAGAAGTCGCCCATTTGAAATTAGAATTAGAAAAAGCTCACAATAAAATAGAAAATTAGAAAAGCAAAATTGTGAAAAGGAAACGCTGACTGTAAAATGGAAGAAACCGTTTACTGAAGCCATGAGCACACCCAAAAAACGCGCATCTCTTATAAAGCGAAATACCACGGGCCAGATTTGCGGAAAAGAAAAAGATAAGAAATTTGGACAAAGCCGATCAATAGAGTTACATGAGTCAAACTGTAGTACTATAGAAGTAGAGAATACAAACATGCCTATAATATTAAATAAATCAAGATTATACAATGAGAAAACTAAACAAAAGCCAAAAAACAATAGTATTGTTATATTTTTGGATAGTATCGGACAAGGATTGGCGTCAAAGATAATAGAAAAAAGTGCAATCGAGCAATTAACAACTGTAAAACGGACGCAGTATTTCAAAATATATCAGAAAACTTTGGCGAAAAGATTAAAGGTCTCGAAAAAAAAAGATAAGGTAGCTTTACTTATTACTAAATATGAAAGTTCTCTTTATCATAATCAATAAAAGTACATAAAACTATAGAACGATATTGTAAACCAGCCTTATAGGAAATTAAACATGATAATCACTGGTTTGTGTTATAATGGCAAGAATGACAACGTGATTCACCATATCAACAATCAGATACTTAACATAGCTAAAGTCATCGAAAATATCAAATTTCTGGACCCTTTTTTTATTTAAAATAAATCAAATATAAAGCTTAAATTATTTTATCATGGTGTCGCAAAAACCTAAGAAGGTTTGTCTGTACACCATGCTTCATCGACGGCACTCGATGCTCAACCTACGTACAGACATTATCTATTATATATTACGATAGATATAATATGCTTTAAAATCGTAGCGATGGTCTACACGCTCGCAATGCATTCGTATCTACATTCACGGGTAGTAAAAATATGTCATTACTCAGACGCACAAAACCAGTTAGGCAATGAACGTGTACACAGGTTGTTCATAAGCGGTAGAATTTAATTGTACTACGGTTGGTAAGTAATCTCTGTTAATAAAAAAAATCGATATTTATGTACTTATAAATATACACACACATACACATTTATTATAACAGAACGCGAGAAACCCGGGTTCGATCTCCACCGGCACCAATGAAATTGTTAATTGCAATTTTAAGTGCTGATATACCACGTGCTCGGCGGTGAAGAAAAACATCGTGAGGAAACCTGCATGTCTGAGGAATAAGAAAAAAATATTTCGAAGACATGTAAAGTTCGCCAACATGCATTGGGGCAGCGCGGCGGACACTTCCTTGCCCTAAAACCCTCTCAGAAATGAGGGGGAGGCATGTGCCCAGCAGTGGGACGTATATAGGCTGTAACTTTACTTTTTTTTACTTATACACATTTATGCGCAATATAACAAGAATATATACGTATTCATACAGGCATACTATACGATTTATTTATTTTTATTTTATTTTATTTTTTATTTATATGTACATAAGTATAATATGTACATTTATTACGTATATAATAATATATATGAGATATAATTATTTAGTAAGATGCTTTTTTATTTCGTGTAAATAGTGTAGTTTTAGTTTTCTTTTTATATTTTCCGCAGTAATGTCATTTTTTAAGTGTAAAGGGTAATTCATTTATTAGTTTGGGTATAATATAGGCAAGTCGTTGCCTTCCGTAATAATTCTTCATGGTAATGTTCGAAGCATACATAAAAAATACGTAGAAATCGAAAGTTTAGCTAATGAACAGGATTGCGACGTGTTGTGTTTGACGGAGACGTGGGGTAAAACTGTCAGATACAAGCGATGACTATTGAAAACTATACACTTGCACTTGCTTTAATAGAATCGTTTTTGAACACGGTGAAACGGCGATATATGTGAAAAATACTTTACGAGTATAAAATTAGGAACGACTTGAAACTATCATGTGAAA